TATATAAAAAGTGTTTTGTTGTTATATCAAGCTGATGTGCAGAAAGATTTTACCATCAACTCTTCACACCTAGGCGACAGCATTTTTGCGTGTTTTAACACGCGTTTTTTAATGCACGTTTTATGCGCTTTTAATGGGCATACTGCAAAAGCTAGTTTTTGTGAGCAGAATGTAGCTCATTGATGTTAATGAGAAAAAGCGCATTAAAACGCGCAAAAACAGCAAACGGGCGTTTTCAAGCGTTTCCTATTGAGTTTACGGGGCCATAACGAGCTGTAATATGCCAAAGAAAAGCTCCTGTACTTTTTCCAGCCACAGGCGTTTGCTTATTGCGACATAACGCTCAGATGTGAACAGGGACATAGAAATGAATGGGATTTTTTTGGGGGCAGAAAAAGCACTACAAAACGCTCAGTGTGAACCAGGCCTTAAGGGCTCGTTCACACCAATTGCAGTGATTGGTATTTTTCCGCACTGGATCAATGCAGGTCACCGCAAGGGCAAACAGAAAACAACTCTCCTCTATGTGCCCTGTTAACATTTTTAATCTAGTGTGATGTGTGGTGTGACCAAATGGAGCCATGTTGTATTTTTCTGCAGCGCACTGTATGTCACTAGAGGCCAGCATAGCACAACATACTGTGCTGCTGTGAGGGGACCTTTAAATGGAGTGTACACTTTGTACACTGCCAATAAAGTTAAAAAAGAAACAGTGCCTTGTGTAGCAGGCCTTGATTAATATCACTGCTGTCACCCAGCAGACCATAGCTGTTTTAGTGTGCAGCTGGTGTGAACAAGCCCTAAAACAATGTTTCTGAACACATAGTGGTATATTTATAAGGCAGTGAATGGAATATGAATTTCACCCAGTATTTACCACAGGTGTATCTTCCTGGTGAATGTGTTTTAAATGACAGTGATTGATTCACCTGTAGTCAATATTTGGCAAATGCCTCATTTACTTCTAAATGAACCTCATAAGCTATAGTGTATCTTTCTAGAAAAAAGGTTCTTGTGAAAGCACTAAGGCTGATGTTAGTTGGGTGACTCTAGCTATTCTGTGGCTGGTGTATTGTTAATATCACTAAGCCACAGGATCACTAAGAGGCTGCTTGTTTGTCCACATGGAATCACTTCCTCTGCAGCTGAGGCAGTCAGAGGTCCCTTCCACCGCTAATGATGAAGATTCAACAATGTTCAAGGTGGCGACGGATTGACAGCTTGCTACATCTGGGTACAGAGGGAGATCGATTCCATAGGAACAGACAAGCAGCCTCTTTAGCGATCTGGCCGTTGTTTCTCGCGGCAGAAATGCCCGTCTGACATCAGCCTTACCTGACACAAAGACAAAGCTGCAAACATATGCATGTATAAATCTTTCTAGCTCTAAGTTAATTATAACTAGTGCCACGATATGCTGGAAATCCCAGATGGCATAACAGATGGTAATAAAGCACACACACCACACCACTGTATTATATGCACACCAAGTCATAAATCAAATATGTTTTCAATATGCTTCCAGTATTTTACTGGAATAGCACAAATAAGTGCTGCGATCTTTTACATGATGGCTTCTAAAATGCAGCCTCCACTTTTATATGGGATTAAACTGCACTCATTTAGTTTGTCCATTGCTGATCCAGAAAAATATTAATTAGGCTTCAATGGTATTTTCTATCCCTAAACATACCACTATTTTAACTTATTAGTGGAGGTTAGACAATACCGAGAGCTATATTTACAATAACATAGTTATCAGTAGGACCACCCCTGCCCCAAAGAACCCTGGAAAAAGGGGATACCCTGATCCCCCAAGTTGGTGGTTGGTCATAGGGCTATCAACTCTATTCTAGAAAAGTATATGGATCAATGATACTGTATGTATCAAACAAGGAACAACCCAAATATATGAGGTTAGAAAGCAGGAATTTACTGAACCTGCACAGAGCTGATACACGTGTTGGCAAATCAATTTTCAGTGATGGCTATTTAAGAAATAAGATGGAAATTAAGTAATGTAATACATTCCGGTAATGGTGCAGCTTTCTGTAATGAGATGGAAATCATACATTTGGAACATTATTTGTTATGGAGAAAAGAATGAGACTCACTGTAAATAAGTTTGTAAACAAAAGAGTATGTACTATAAAACAATAATCTACTTTTCTGACCATGTTTCGCCCATATTTAGGGTGTAACATTAAACCCAGTTACATTCCCTAGTCACCCCAACTTATCATGGGGTTCTTTTCCCGGCAGACTTCTGTTTAGTTTGGAATTCTGTCTGGCTGTGTGTGGCTTTGCCTGCACTGCCGCACCATCCATTTGCAGATCCATCCACATGATCTGTAAATGGAAATGGAAAGACTACAAGTCCCATATGCCAACAGATGGGGACACAGATCTTAATAGAGCACAAGTGCTGTGATGTTACCACATTTGTACTCCATTGAATACTTCCTCCAGCCCCATAAATGAAGGTCTGTACCTCTATGGAATTGGGGCAGGAGTTAAAATCTGTAGGGGCCTGTGCATTGCATCCAATCCAATGTCCATCCAATTCAAGAAAAATAATAAATGCACATTTTTTCTTTTATTTACAGGTGAAACTCGAATAATTAGAATATCGTGCAAAAGTAATTGCAGTAAGTGCTGCAAAAGGGGCCCAAACCAAGTACTGAGTACATATGCATGCTTGTACTTTTCAGAGGTCCAATATTGTTCTATGTACAATCCTTGTTTTATTGATTGCATGTAATAATCTACTTTTTTGAGATTGTGGATTTGGGGTTCTTGGGGTTTTCATGAGCTGTAAGCCATAATCATCACAATTATGACAAATCACGGCTTGAATTATCTTGCTTTGCATGTAATGAGTCTATCTCATATATTAGTTTCACCTTTTAAGTTGCATTAGTGAAATAAATGAACTTTGCACGATATTCTAATTATTTGAGTTTCACCTGTATATGTGTGCCTTAATTTTCTCCAAACGGTGGACTATGCTTTTAAGTGGTAACATTCTCAGTATCTCTGTAATGCACATGCCCCTACAGAGGAAGCAGGGGAAGAATTAACAGACATTTTTATAAACACTTGGAAAGAGTGTGTTACAGTTTTCCTAAATGTTGTAAATATTATTTTAAATTGCATTTAAATTGTTACTGAAGATGTTACTAAAGCTAGTCACTAGTTTAAAAAGTTGTAACAAGGTCTCCCTGTAAAGAAAAGTGTTACCACTTTTTTATCCTTTTGCCTTCACACCGTTCTTCCCTCTCTTACAAAGCTAAGCTGGCGTAAAAATCATTTGCATTCGACATTCTGGAGGTATCAGATGCCTGGTCCCCCTCTTTGTGCTGTGGTTTTATCCACCAGCCCCTATGTAACTACAGGCTACAGTGGTGACTTAGGGGTCGGTAGATGGAATCACAGTGTGTAGTAGGGGATGGTGAATCTAACACCCAAAAAAATGCAGAAGATTTTTAGCCTGGATTGCTATGCAAGACAGCTAAGGGCAGGGCTGTGGGTGGCCTGTACCCCCTATCAGCAGCCCCAAGTATCCCTAGGTGGTGATGTCACTACTGTGATTAGAGCTGCAGCTAACGATTATTTTCAAAATCGATTAGTTGGACGATTATTAAGTTCGATTAATCGGTTAATCGGATAAAAAAAAATAGATTTAAAAAAATGGCTCCAGTGATGGACTACTAGTTTGTATTGAGATTGTAGTCCATCACAGGACCAAGCTTGGAGCGGTGGAAGTAAAGAAAAGGAAAAAAAAAGTGTGGTGTGCAATATAGTGAAATGAAAAGTGTAAAATTATACAGCAATTAATGTAGAATGGCACCGCCTATTAAGGACTACAAAACCCAGCAATAGTACATTATACAGCACAATGCAGAATACCACCAGCTATAGAGGAGTACAACAAATCCCAGCAATAGTACATTATATCTGGTAGTATTACGGGCGGGCCTGGCAGCGGCGAGCGTGAGGTGGGGAGGAGGGGTGACGTGCAGCGTGTGTGGAGCCGTGAACAGGGCCAACCAATCGGAAGCCGATTAATCGATTATTGAAAAAGTTGACAACTTTTTCAATAATCGATTATAATCGATTATGTCGATTAGTTGTTGCAGCCCTAACTGTGATGCTCACTGTTCTCCTTGCTGGAGGCTCTGACCTGTGGAATGAAAAGCCTGACTCCACCAAGATGGACACCTCCACACAGAGACACAGTGCAGAGCAAAGCATGGTAAGTGAGTAATGGGGAAAGATCAGCTGCAGGGAGGTAACAAGTAATATTGATGACTAGTCCTTTGCTCCGTGTCTGACATTTTGGGCACAATTCCAGTTCAGCTCCTCTTTAAAGAAGTTCAACTTGATGGGCATTTTCAACCTAAAAAATTGTAACTAAACCATGTGGATATAATTACATTTATAGAGAGTGACAAACTACCCATCAGCAATGCAGGACAAGACGTGGTACTCCAGCTGCCTGTTGACTGGGTCATACTGGATGGACGGGAAAGCACTGATGACCATGCCATAGTTCGCTATGAATGGACCCTGCTTCGTGGAGACCCATTAGTTGACATGAAGGTACTGTGCATGGATTCATTTGACATTTTTCACATCGTCTGTAAAACACATATTAGTCCAACAGAATGCACAAGAGGGTGTCCTTCTTGAGACCTAAAAGGTGTTTCAGTTATTTGCTGACTAATAATGTCTTTGTGCCTTTGCTGGGAATAGTGTGGTTTTTATAATGATGCTTGGGCTATACTGCATGCTGCTGTCACATTGACATGTCTATCTAATATCTATATAGTACACAATTTTCTTTATCATGGACTGAACATACACTATATTGCCAAAAGTATTGGGACACCTGCCTTTACATGAACTTTAATGGCATCTCAGTCTTAGTCCGTAGGGTTCAGTATTGAGTTGGCCCACCCTTTGCCGTTATAACAGCTTAAACTCTGCTTGGAAGGCTGTCCACAAGGTTTAGGAGTGTGTCTATGGGAATGTTTGACCATTCTTCCAGAAGCGCATTTGTGAGGTCAGGTACTGATTTGGGGGAGAAGGCCTGGCTCGCAGTCTCCACTCTGATTCATCCCAAAGGTGTTCTATCGGGTTGAGGTCAGGACTCTGTGCAGGCCAGTCAAGTTCCTCCACCCCAAACTTGCTCATCCATGTCTTTGTGGACCTTGCTTAGTGCACTGATGCACAGTCATGTTGGAACAGGAAGGGGCCATCCCCAAAATGTTCCCACAAAGTTGGAAGCATGAAATTGTCCAAAATGTCTTGGTATGCTGATGCCTTAAGTGTTTCCTTCACTGGAACCAAGGGGCCAAGCTCAACCCCTGAAAACAACCTCACACCTTGATCTCCACTAAACTTTACACTTGGCACAATGCAGTCAGGCAAGTACCGTTTTCCTGGCAACCGCCAAACTCAGACATGTCCATCTGATTGCTAGAGGGAGAAGCGTGATTCATCACTCCAGAGAACACGTCTCCACTTCTCTAGAGTCCAGTGGCGCCGTGCTTTACAGCACTGCATCCGACGCTTTGCGTTGCACTTGTAAGGCTTGGGTGCAGCTGCTCAGCCATGGAAACCCATGTGACTTCTGCGCACTTCAGCATGTGCTGACCCCGCTCTGTCATTTTACATGTCCTACCACTTCGTGGCTGAGTTGCTGTTGTTCCCAGTTACTTCTACTTTGTTATAATACCACTAACAGTTGACCTTGGAATATTTAGTAGCAAGGAATTTCACGGAACACCTGAATCCAATGATTTAGAGGGGTGTCCCAATACTTTTGGTGTATCATGATATACACACAGAGGGTTGATAAAAGAGCAGAAACATTCATATGACTCTATGATTAAGCTCTAAGCTCTTTGCATCATGCTTTTTTTCTCCAGTGGAATGTCCGTGGAGTGTGGCATCTGTTGAACAGCAGAAACATTTAGTTACTCTGAAGTAGCTAAATCACAAGCTGAAATGAGTCATCTTAACATGATTATAATGTTTAGGAGGTGTCCAAGAATCAAGCTACTCCATGTCCAAGGGGCAGGTGCATTAGTAAAAAAATATTTAAAGATGAACAGGTAAATACACAGATGAAAACATATCAGCAGCTGTTTTACCTTCTAAACAATTTTTATTTACCAATCTAGTCCTTATATTTACACAGCCCTGCCAAACGGTACAGCCAGGTTGGTGACCTAACAAACAAAAGGGATGTGATCAAGGAAGATCAGATCAAAGGGCAGTACATTGAGGGTCGGAAAGCCAAATTGAGTACAAAAGTATAAAGTTTATTTATATATAATGTTAAAAGTAATGGGTCACAAACAATCCACCTACTAACTATCACCAGATGACCCTGCTCTACAAACAATTAAAATGGTCAGTCAACCAAACACTCATTCGATGCCAGACATGCTGTGGCCAGCTGGCCAATTAATCATGTACCGGTATAGTTCAAAAAATGAGAGCAAAAAACAGCGCTGAAAATAAATGACTCAAGAAAACTATAGTTATTGCCAATGGGCTATGGAGAAGTCAATAGATGTTAAATTCCGCTGCTAATATCAGGCTTGTGAAGTCAGAAATATGGAACATAGAGTTGATAGTGGATATTATGTTTCATTTATGGCCACCTCCTGTGAGTATAATATGGGTTCATGGGATACCAATTGCCTCGTCAGGCACTGATATGATGTAAATGTAGTCCTTCCAGACTAGATATAGGATATCTCCTGGCTGTTGAAACACCTATAAGGTGTTTATTCTGTCATGCAGTATGTAAATCCAGTAAAGTGAAGGTACTCGCAGGTGCCGTATTATTCACAGTCGGTGCGGTTCTGGAGATCCAGGGATTTCACCACTCTTGCTTGATACAGCCAAAAATCCCAGCGGAGGCTGATCTAATTTCGTGCATTAGAGGGTCATCTGGCATCTTCCTTGCACTTCAAGATAGTCCCAATCATTTGTAGTGGATTCCAATTCGGTCATGAACAGCGCTAGTTCAACTTCTGTTAACCGGAATTGTTTAACCTGACATGCAGGTGAAATCACAGCTTGGCATCTGCTACCATGACGCTTTTCGCCCGCCTTCTTTCCCAGGGCTTCGTCAGATGCTGCTCTCCAGCATCTGACGAAGCCCTGGGAAAGAAGGCGGGGCAAAACATGATCACATCCCTTTTGTTTGTTAAGTTACATACAGTAGAGGTTCGTTTGTAAGCCTTGAGTCAATAGACTTTTCAGCCATAATTAAGGGTTAATTAACCATTACCGGGCCTGGACTCTGGGTATTACCTTATTTCTTTTGTAAAGGTTGGTGACCTAGCCTTTCTTTACTGCAGTTAAAGATATTCTGTCTTTAAATGCACATTATTGCATGACATTGACAAAACTTATTTGTGTGGTACTTTGATTGTGCCCTTCTCTGCATGCAAAATGGTGGGATCAGCCTTCATCACACATAGATTATTCAACAAGTTGGAAAATCTCTGAATGTGTTTGATAGCTGAAGGTGCTTATTATCACCGACTAGGATGGTAACAGATAACATGATTATTGAAAGAAAGCCTTAATAAAATATAGCTGTATTTGTAATAATAATAAAAAAAACCTGGGAGTGTCTTCCACCCACTCCCGGTCATAAAAAATAACCACAGCTGATGACATTAGCAATACTAAATAGTCTACTTGTGGGCCTATGACAACAAAAACCACAGCTACTGTATATTTAAGAACGGTGCACAGTAGGTAGAGTGAAGAGCTATTCCAGCTACCAAAACACTTAGGGGTCTATGCAGGAGCATAACTAGAAATCACAAGGCCCCATAGCAAAGTTTTGTATGGACCCCCCCCCAAAAAAAAGGACCTACCGGCAGAACACGTTGCCTGCACCATTTCCTTCTCTTCAGCTCTGCTCCTGCCGTCAGAGCCGAAGAACAGATTGCTCCACTGCTCACTGCTGCAGAGAGCCAACCATAGACCCCACACAACCCACTTGAGACCCCGCACAGCCTACCTGACACCCTGCAGAGTCCACCTGTAATATGCTGTGTTGCAATTAAATGTACACCAGTATAGTTTTATGACAACACACACCACAGTGCATAAACAATTTTTACCATAAATCGCTTATTTACAGTTTTGTGTCAATTTTTTTTTACCATGTCGCATAAAGGTGCATTTTAAAATATACACATATTTGTTATTTATTAACTCAATACAGTTTTATCTTTTAGATTTAGTCGGAAAAATATTTTTTTTCGTGCACGGATACTGATTTTAGTGCGCTTTTAGCAATTGAATTGTGTATTTTCATCGGTTTAATATTTATTTGATAAACATTTGCGCAACAATCGCAGGACCTACAAAATTAGTAGCACCATCTTTTTATTCTACCAGGCCTGTGCTTTCAGAAAATATATGGTTTGGGGGGTCTTTTACAAAAGCTAGCAACGCAGCAATAAAAAATCAAAACAATGGGAAAAATTGCAAATAGGTGTGGCCAGCTGAGGTTAAAGGTATTCTGGAGGGCTTGGCAGCGGAAGGTATATAAACAGTAAGTTTTAGCAGTGCACAGACAGCAATACAAATCTAACAGGTGTTCTAATCCCTCTCCACTCCATCCAAAATAAAGAACATTTTTGGCATCAATTGCACTTTAAGGACATTTGATTTTGCCCCTTCTCATTACAGCTGGTTAATTCACACAGAATGAATTGTAAACACACATTAGCTGGACAAAAAGCTATCCAACTTTTTTATTTTCAATAAATAGACCCCTTAGTGTTGCGAAGTAGCTGCTGGGCAGTGGGGATCCTCTTTCCTCCTCTGTAAGTAAAACACTTATTTCAGTGAAAGGCTGATATTAGGGATGCACCGATACCGGTTTTTCGGTATCGAGTACAAGTGCCGATTACCGGAATTTCCAGTATCAGAGGTAAGTAACTAAGCATTTGGACGAGTACGAGTACTCGTCCAAATACTCGGTATCAGCACCGATACTGACTACTAGTATCTGTATCTGTGCATCCCTAGCTGATACACAGAGGAACATTGAGACTGAATTGCTGATGAAATCAATTGAATACCTTACCCGATCAGTTTGAGATAAAAAAAACCCTGCATCTGCTTGTTTGTGAGATCAGTTTATCTTTAGAGTGACTGGGAATCTTTTGGGCAATCTTTGCTCTAGCCGAAGCTTGTTAGTTTTTAGAAATAATAGATGTTATACCTTTGCTAAAGTATGGTATACACGGTTAGAATTTTAAACAAACAAAATTGATTTCAGAACATTCGTTACACTTTCTAATCAATGATTGATTTCGACCACAGTGTCGAAAGGAGCATGTTGGAAAATGTTTTTCGATCAAATGAAATTCGTCCAAAAAGCTCCATTCATTCCAAAATCAAATGCTAAATAAAGACAACAATCAAATTAAATTTCAAACAACAATCACCAAGTCTCTGATGGCAATATTGAATGTGCCAACTGGATGTCTGTGTGAAAATCTACTCATGCATACCCCTACTTTAGTTCTGAGTTTGTAATTAGCATGTAAGTAAAGACATTTTCTATGTTTATTTGTTTATTTCCTTAAAATAATTGCCATTTTTTTTTCTTTTTTTGTCAATGAAAAATGTTTATCTTTTTTTTTTATTTTATAGCATAATAAAAGAGCTGGTCTTATTATTATAGAAACAATATCTATGTTCGCTTTGCAAGCAAGGGTAAACCTAACTGGTGAGCCAGTCAATGTACATCGTGTATTGAATTACCCAGGTTAACAGAAGAGAAACAAATGATCACATACTAGAGCCACTGAACCATGAAAAGGCAAAGCTTTAATGTCTCCGAGTGAAATCACTCCAAGAATAGCAACAATGGTTTCCTTGTTCTGTACCCATGGACACTATTAAGACATTAAGAAGGGTATTTCTTGTAAAATGATTCCCTCAAATAAAAAAAACAGTTAAAAAGGACTACACCAAGTCATGTCATTTTCAGAATATATAATGCTTTATGTTTCATCTAGGTGTCTGTAGGGATTTTTAAAGAACACTTGCCATGAGAGAAATATGTACGTAGCTATCGCTGGCCTCTTTGAAATTTTAGATGTCTGGGCTTGTCTGGTTTCAGTACTTTCTAACTTGCTGACCTGGAACAAGTATGTAGCTAATGAAGTCACAGAGAAGATGGAACACCTGATCTTCATACTTGTTCTACTCTAGAAAGCATTAGAAATGGCAGCTTACATAAAGTATGTCTCTCAGGGTGGGTATTTTATCTTGGGAGCATAACAATCCATTTATAGCTCTAGAAAAGAGTTAAATTAAACCCGGATTTTGCCCGTGCAGGCCAAAGCAGCTAATACATTTTACTGTCCCCTATGGCTGTCTGGGGGGGGGAGCAAACTCCAGACCCCCAGCTGTGGTGAAACTACAGGTCTATACTTACCTTTACATTACTCCTCTGCCATTCTGTTTACCTGGGAGCAAGTCAAAGAAGCCCTGTGCAAGTTGCGATGTTGAACTTAGACAGGACTGAGGACTTTTTGCCTCATGTGACATATCTTTGTGTCTGGGCAGTCAATTGCCAAGCACCAGTTCTCTTACACGGGAGAGTCATTCCTTGCTCCTGCGGTAATGACGAAGGCAGCCAGAAGGTAAATGTAAGCAGCTGCAGGGGACACCAGGTATCTTTCCCCTGCAGGGTGCTCCAGCTTACAGGTTCACTTTAGTAGGGACGAGCTAAAATATTTTGTGTATTATTTTATATTTATATTGTAACGCACTCTGCAAACTGTTGGCACTATATAACTCCTTTTATTATAATACTCATTTTCTGAGAAGGGTCATAAGTACTAGATATTTGTTAGTATTCTACTGGGCACCATTTTTATATTTGATTCTTCCTGGAGGCCTATCCTAATTTCATTACCTTATCTGTGCCTGTACTGCCTCTTTAACTCCTATTACAGGTGATGATTTGTGCGAAATGTTACCCAGAAATCCACCAAGGCAGACTTATTATTAAACATGGAAGTGTTTGAAAGCATTTAAAAATATATATATTTTCACACACTTAATTTGATTGTCTAATGGGTGCAGTTACAACGGCTGTGGTCACACAAGGGTTGGATGCTGAGTGTACATTTATGAGTTATGTGTTTGAGTGGATGGAACCAGATGTGTTCATATGATGATAACACTGCTAGATAGCATCATAGTATAACCATATCTCCTATTCCAGTTGTTTAATAATGACAAATGTGAGATTTCCAATCTATCCCTGTTCTGGTGACAACACAATGTTGGGATTTTCTTTCACTTTCAATGATAATGGTCACAAATACAGAGGGTGAATCTCTCTCATGGGGACACAGACAGAGCTAAAAACCTGACAGACGTTCTAATCCCTCTCCACTCTATTCAAAACTAAAAAAAAAAAAGTTTTGGATTCAGTTGCACGTTAATTGTAAGGCCTGAAGTCCTAGTCTGCCATTTTAATTGTCCCAGTAGTTTCCAAAAAGAAACTATACAGTGACAATACAGGTTAGGCCTCATGCATACAGCCCTCCTGCATTAAACACTGCAGAAGTGATCTGGGAAGTATAAACAACTTTTATGCTTCCCAGATCTCTTGTTTCCTGAGTTTAGATGCTCTTGGGTTTAACAGCATTTAGTTGCATTTACACACGTGTACATGCTCTTAGCCATGTAAAACCAGGCTAAACGGTCTCGAGACGCAGAAAATTCTTGTTTGTGTAAACACAGCTAGACTGAATGCACCTTAGACAATACTGCATGTCTAGGTGCATTCAGCCATAGTAAAGCGTTACATGCTTCCAGGTGAGAAATGAGCTCACATGGAAGCAGGTGTTTTAATTCCCATGTGCATGCACGCCTAAGTTGTAGAGGATGGTGGAAGGTAAATTGTCTTTTTACATATCTTAGCAGGTATAAAAGTTGTCGACCAACTCCTATTTTTAATTTTGGATAGAGCAGGGAGGGATACAAACTTCTGTCAGCTTTCTATCACTAGCCATTCTTGTATTGCAGAAATGTTTTCCAATTTCTGGTTACTCACACTAGGTAAAGATGAGGAAAATTGGGGTCACTGGGACAGGAAGACATAGACAGGAATACAATCCTCTCAAAAGCTGTAACCCCCTCCTCACTCTACTAAAAAACATGTGCTTCTGTTGTTGCCTCTGTTCCCTTTGGAGAGATTTGCGGCCTTTTTTTGTTCCTGTGAAATGCTAGAACACACAGTGAAGGGAAATCTCCCCACTGCCTGAAATACCTGACTAAGGTTCTGTTTCCCACACTTTTGAAAACTAAAAAAAAGTTGTAATGGTTATATTTATCAGGTCACACAACCAGGGACACTGAAGCTGTCTCACTTGCAAGAAGGAGTTTATACTCTACAGTTGACTGTGACGGACACGTCTGGACAGAAGAGCTCGGACAATGTCTCTGTCAATGTCCTGCCTGCTGAGCATCATGTATCAGGTAGATCATAAATGTACTTATTGGAGACATTGATATTGCACCAACAATTTATGCAGTGGTTTACATACTGTACATTCACATCAGTTCCTACTCATAAGGAGCTTACAACCGTAAGCTGGCCATACACAAGTAGAATTTTGTTCCAGAAAACTTGTTTTTGGAACGTTCGCTCTATTTTTATATAGTTATTGGGGTGAAATCGACAATGGGTTTTAACCATAGTGGGGAAAAATATCTAACAAATGGTAAATATGGATTTCATTCAGGAAACTCTTAATTATTCCAACATCAAACAACATTTGTCAAGTCTTTGATGGTATTATCTATTATTATAAGTGCTCTGCTCAGATTTATTTGTATGCACGTTTATATGAAAATCTGCTGTACCTCACATGCATATATACAGACACACATATCAGGGCCAATTAACCAGCACCATGTCTTTGGAGTGTGGGAGGAAGCTGGGGTACCCTGATGAAACCCACACAAGTGCAGGCAGAACATGCAAACTTCTGGACCCTAGCTGGACGGCAGGATTGCTACCTACTAAGTACCATCCAGTACTTTTACAGAGTTTGAATTAAATATCCATTGAAAAATCAGTAATGTTTAGTCAGCTTTTCAGTGACCACACAATTAGCTATATAGCTTTAGATCCTTACTTCTCTGTTTAAGCTTCAACTTTGGGCATGTCCTACATGAAATTGATAGTGTAACTAATGCATATAAAATAAACCAAGAAGCTTATTTAGCATGTCTAAGAAATATTCTAATGTATCTCCTCACAGTTTTGAGCCAAAAGGTACAGAGCCAAGATGTGTCAAGAAGGAATGATTTGTGGTTGTCATACTGATCCATTGTCCTCAATATATCTTGAGTAACTGACCTGGAAGAAGTATACATATCCGGAGTTCACAGACTTCACTGGCAGCATACTTATTTTTAGGGATGCACCAATACCATTTTTTCCAGACCTAAGGCGATACTTTTCCTCAAGTACTCGCTGATACCAATTACCGATACTTTTTTTTTGTGTGTGTCATGTGACAGGTTTTATAAAACAATAAAGACTAATCATTTTAGGACAGTGGTGGAGCGCCAGGGCCCGGTGTCAGCTGCCACTGCTGCGACCCTGGTCGTTCTGCCACTGACTCCAAGCTGTAGAGGGACTACGAATCCCAGTGATATATTATACAGCATTGCATAATTACCACCAGCTATAGAGGATTACAAATCCCAGCAATACATTATACAGCAATGCAGAATGGCACCGGCTATAGAGGACTACAAATCCCAGTAGTACATTATACTGCAATGCAGAATACCACCAGCTATGGAGGACTACAAATCCCAGCAATACATTATACAGGTATGCAGAATAATATGAAGCTGTATACTCTGTGTTACCCCGGGGTGGTTGCCTGATGTCTCCAGGGTCTCAGGTAGGCTGTGGAGGGTCTCAGTTGGGCCGTGTGGGGTCTCAGGTCAGCTGTGCGGGGTCTCAGGTGGGCTGTGTAGGCTCTCAGGTGGGCTGTGCAGGCTCGCAAGTGGACTGGGTGGGCTCTCAGAAGAGCTTTTCAGGGTTTCAGGTGTCTGCAGGTTCTCAGTTCGGCTGTGTGGGATCTCTGTTGGGCTGTTCGTGGTCTCAGGTGGCTGTGTGGGGCCAAGGTGGGCTGTGCAGGGTCTCAGGTGGGCTGTGCGTGGTCTCATCAGGGCTGTGCGTGGTCTTAGGAGGTCTGTGTGTTTCTCACCAGGGCTGTCCAGGGGCCCAGAAGGCCTTGTGAGCGGGCAACATAGTTTCACAGAAAGGAGCAGATGTGTGGCCAGCACCGTGAGGTCATCAGCAAGCACGGGACCTTACGGCAGCCGCTTGTAGCATTTTGGCAACTGATTCCTATGTGTTTCTCACAGCACATGGTTCCTTTAAACAAAATGTTCAAATGTACTTTGCTTAGTGCTGGTAAAAAGTGTTTCCTTTAGTTTGATAATACTGCCATCTAGTGTTCACAAATCAGCACTGGCAAAATTAATCTAGTCTAGGTCTGCTAAAAATTCATTATCCAATGAGGTGGACACTGACCGCAAGTCACTGTAATTGACTTAGAAAGCAGCTTTTCCATATTACAAAATGATTGGTTAAAATATACTTTAAGAGCTAGTTCACACCAGCCACAGTGCGTTCCGTCCCGATTGGTGCTGGAACGCACTGGATTGCATTCCGGCCGGCTCACGTTGTTTTGGGGAAGGAGGGGGCATGGCGTGCATTGAAGTCAATGGCACTATTTTTTCTGACTGCACTGGACCGTAACACAGGCGCTGATGTGTCACGTGTTCCGGTGCAGGCGATCGAATTGCGTCCAGAGGGTATGGCTGTGGTCGTCATACCCCTCCCGCCCAAAACAAAGTGAGCCCGCTGGAATGCGATCCAGTGGGTTCCGGCACCAATCGGGTCCTCCCGTTACCCTAAGGAAAACTATGGGGAAAAGACAACCCCATACCTCCTTTAAAATTACTACTGAAGAATATCATTGCACTTCCCACCTAGACACTTCTGTGCCTTGAAGCCCATTTCCACCTTTGCAAAAGTATTTAAAAAAACTTAATACCAGCAATGGACACCGAGTGTACATGAAGCAGGCATATGCAGTTGATGTATATGAAAACAGAAACTTACATTTCTGTTAGCTTTCCTCTTCATAGCCTCATGGAAATGACTCTGTGTTTTGCAAGTTCTGTTTGAGCACTCCTATTCATTAGTATTCATAGTGCCCCCCTCCCCCCCCAGGGCCGGCCTTAGGCCTTTAGGCGCCCTGTGCGAGAAGCTTTACAGTGCCCCTCAGTGACCACACCCCCCGTAACCACACCCATTTCCCCCAATATCCGCACCATTTAAAGACTCCTATTTTGTTAAGCCGCAAAGAAACATATTAAAAAGTATGATAAAAATAAAACCTAGACTACATGTAAATGAATGGATTACTATATGTCCGAATATACGAAAAATGTATTCAGGCGCATAATAATTTGTTTGAGAATGTGCGGTGGCCATGTTGGCCACCGGCATGTTCTGTGAATGCGTGCCACCATCTTGGAGGTGGGGAGCATGACATGGGGAGCATGCATGCGTGGCGTCAGGTGACTTCACACACCGATATAGGCGTCACCATCTTGGTGTATACCTAGATATATAACACGTGTGGTGTTATATGACGTCATGCACCCTGCCTCCAGAACACGCCAATGGCTGAATCCAAAATAGCATAAAAAAGTGTTTTGTTTGATGAAACAAATGAAAACTTTTTTAGTTTTCGTTCATTTCATCTGAAATTATTTTTTAGTCTTCGCACTTGTCTAATAATATGTGTGTGTGTGGGAGGGGAAGCCGGCCCCAGGACGGGCTATGTCGGCTGCACGGCGCCCTTGTTGCCATGGCGCCCTGTGCGGCCGCACAGCTCGCACACCCCTAAGGACGGCCCTGCCCCCCTCTTTTCCCCCTCCAGACAGTGTATCGTGTGTAAAGGCAGAGCTGGTGTTTACTGATCATGTTACAATGAATACCAGGGAGGGGGGCATCTTTTTACAGCCTAATTACCATCCAACCCTGGTGTCTGACTGATTTCCTGTGGAGAAAGTTTAGAATTCTTACGATTCAGGCCTAATAAAAAGTTCCTTAATAAATAATAAGGAAAGCCTGCAAAGGGAGTCATGAAAATGTGCACATGTATACATCATCACTGCACCTCTTCTTTACCACAATAAATGCAAATCACTTACAAAAGGTGGAAATTACAAGATATGGAGTGTGATTAGTAAGTATTGTACTGCTTACTCTTCTATTTGCTGGAGAGGAGGCTGTAGTGCAAGGATCTCCTTGCTTCTGCTTCATTCATTTTGTGGGGTTCCTCCACCTCTCCTGCTACTTCTTGAATAATGCCCCTCCAGTCCCCAGATCGCCAGTCATAATTTTACCAAGATGGCTTCCCCCACACAAAGACACAGTGCAGAACAGGGTATAGTAAGTCAGTAATGGGGAAAAGATTAGCTGCTAAAGGCAATACTGATATCTAGTTCTTTGCCTTCTGCTTATTCAGGCTTTTTTATGCACAGCTTCCACAGTTCAGGTCCTCTTAAACACTTGTGGATCTTGGGCATAAAAGGTACAGCCAAAACAAACATTATCTAAGTACCTTGAGCATACATCATATTTCCTGGGCTACTTCATCCACCCCGACCTGTATACCAGGCAAAATCATCAGAACCACCTGTTAGTTTGACAGCTGACTCCCAGTCCCTGCTGCAGGGGTGAAGACAGTGTGACTTCTGTGTAAATAAGCCAACCGACAATGTTTGTCAGCTTCATTGATATCTTGTCACAATATTTTTTCACGGCATATTTAAACTAGTTCTCTTATGTGCAGATCAAAGGGTTTCATCTATAATGTTGAAGAAGAACATTGGTGGAGGTAAAAATGTCTTGCGGTTTATAACTGGAGAGCTTCTTAGATCTCTCAGAATTTTCTGGTTGTGCCTGCCCTTTGTCATCGCCAGCATTCACATTATAAAGAGAGAGTGGCTTTTGATTTTTTTTAAATTATTTCTCGTGTGTGACTCTATAGATAATCATCTTCTTACTCTTTAGCTCATTCCAAAGGTAAGTGTGTGTGTGTATATATA